TTTTGATAACAAATTCAGGACAGTTTAATATTATTTCTTCGTCTTTTTGGCATTGAAAGTGCACCTAAACCCAACTTGTTTTTCACTTAACGAAATAAGCATATTTTTGAGAGTATTTCTGTGCAATTTTCTTTTTCATTTGCTCAAATCTTTATTTTTCTGTGCCCAGTCAAAGTACGGAAAAATCGGCCGCCATCTTGGCTTACGACCGAGTTTGAAGAAGAATGGTTCTGGCCGGTAATGTGACGTCAAATCGAAAACACGAAAGTCTGTATTTCACACATTTCCACTTGTTTGGGAAGGTTGTCGTCGATATTGTTCGAAATGTGCTGACTAGGTGTGTTGTATGAGGAATGTATGAAGCGCGATACCCTGTTGCAAATTTCGCACGTTGCTACATCCTACTACAACACACTTAGTCGGCATATTTTCGGACAATCGACTACAACCTTCCTAAACAAGTGAAAATGTGCGAAATGTAGACTTTTACGTATGATGCACGATCCTTCGCAGTAGATAGCGTATCTGATTTATCATCACGGGTTTATTACGAATCAACTTAAGGGCCTGCTCCCAGTTGGCTTGTTAGCTCAACTGGTAGAGCGCTGCACTAGTATCGCAGAGGTCAGTGGTTCGAATCTCGTACAGGCCTGATTTTTTTTCAGGTCTGAATTTCGCTATTGCATAAATAGCGCTATCTACTGCGAAGGATCGTGCATCATACGTAAAAGTCTACATTTCGCACATTTTCACTTGTTTAGGAAGGTTGTAGTCGATTGTCCGAAAATATGCCGACTAAGTGTGTTGTAGTAGGATGTAGCAACGTGCGAAATTTGCAACAGGGTATCGCGCTTCATACATTCCTCATACAACACACCTAGTCAGCACATTTCGAACAATATCGACGACAACCTTCCCAAACAAGTGGAAATGTGTGAAATACAGACTTTCGTGTTTTCGATTTGACGTCACATTACCGGCCAGAACCATTCTTCTTCAAACTCGGTCGTAAGCCAAGATGGCGGCCGATTTTTCCGTACTTTGACTGGGCACAGAAAAATAAAGATTTGAGCAAATGAAAAAGAAAATTGCACAGAAATACTCTCAAAAATATGCTTATTTCGTTAAGTGAAAAACAAGTTGGGTTTAGGTGCACTTTCAATGCCAAAAAGACGAAGAAATAATATTAAACTGTCCTGAATTTGTTATCAAAAACAGAAAAGGTGATAAATCTTCTTTCATTGCAGACAACAAAGGCTGGACTCTCATCGCTCGATTCTCGAACAGCGATAGAAATAATTGGATGCGTAACGATGGAAAATGGTGGTATGACCAGCAAACTGCAAATGGAGCCACAAACAACCCCTCAGAGAACAACGACATGATCTCGCTAGCCTTTTGGTCGGTCAGCGGAAGAGAAATAAAGATCACGCGCAGTGACGACCCCAGCCACACCCCTTTGTTACAGAGCACAGGAAACTGTTTGGGTGGAAAAACATTCCGATCAAAAATCAGTAGCTATGGCGACTTTAGAAATGGTAAAGTCTGGGCCAGTAATCAATGTCTGGGAAGTTGCACGGTTCAATATGGTGGACAATACAAATCAACAGATGGGTTTCAACAAGCTGAATGCGATGGAAACATCCAAAGCGCCAACAAGATCGGCTTCTGGTGTGACTCGAGTAATGGCGATGGATCAGTGATGATGATTGGTGGAGGAGGAAGTAAATGTAAACGTGCAGACCATGGGATTGGAATCACAGAAAGTAACGCTGCTTCTTTTGTTGAAAGAGGTGGCAGTGAGTTTGAATATGACTTTGGTTCTAATGCTAAAACAGACACCGCTGCATCCCAGTCCTACTCGTTGAACTTATGGATCTGTTAAAAATAGTCAGCTCTTCATTTTTCAAACTTAGTTTAGGGCTAAAGAACTTTGCAGAGGATGAAATTATTCATTTAACGTCAAGAGAGGAAGCTGTGAACGCGCAGATCATGGAATTGGAATCACAGAAATTGGCGATGCTTCTTTCGTTGACCTCGGAACCCACGAAACTGATGATTGGTCATGGTGCTCAAACATCCATCCCGGTCCTACTCGTTAAACTTATGGATCCGTTAAAAATTAATCAGCCCTTCGTTTTTCAAATTAACTTAGTTTAGATCCGAAGAACTTTTAACAGGATGAAATTATTCATTTAATGTCACATTGTAATCCAAGTTTGAGGAATATCTTAAAGTGGTCAGTAATCTCGCATCTTTTTCCTCTCAGAGTAAAGATGAAATAACTTGACCATCACTCCAGCCGCAACGCAATAAGCTTTAAATATCTTAAGATCCTCACCGTAAACAATTTCAATGCTATAAGAACTTTTCGAGAAAATTGTATCCAATGGAATGATTTTAAGTCGGACTCACAACTCATTTTTTCCAGGAAATGTGAAGTATCCACTGATGATTGTTTAGTGATGTTAGAGATAAAATATGCAAGATATTTTAATTGTTTTGATCGGTTATTTCATCACGAAATTGCTGAAGTTATATCGAGCTCGTGCACTACGTGTTTGTTTAAATAAGCATGAATAAAGTAATTCGATTACTAAATTGATGTTGTAACATATGAATAAAAAGAAACCAATGCAAAAAGCCCGCGTAAGACAAAGAAGTCATGAGCAACTCATGAGAGTCATCCAGAGATTATCTCTTGGTGAATAATCATTGAATTTAAAAAGCTTGAATGAAGTCTAAAATATCTAGATTATGCTCGAGTTTTCTACCAACCTGTCAATCGAGATAATAGGAAACAGAAGCCCATAATTGATTAGACACCCTATGGTCCCGCAAACTTGATGAAGGTCTGGAACCAATAACTTAGGAGCCGGTCGTTTTTTTTAACGCCGAAAGGGAGGCGGGGAAGGGAAAGTAAAGTGAGCTGTGGGGGTGCGGGAGGGGGATCTGGAGGAATCTTGTTGTGTCACAACGAAATGATCGTCTCTTATTGGCAGTCCGCATTCTATACATCCTCGGAGACCCATGGGCTGTGAGTCGATTTCAAGTTAAGGGCAGAAGAGCCCCTGGCGACAATGTCTTACTAGACTAGTTCCAAACGGTCGCACTCGTTCTGGCATCTGATTGGTGCCAGAAAATCTTTGTGTTTTTCTGCCCAATCAGAGTGAAGTGTCCTTTGGAGTCCTTTCGTGTGTTTTAACACGCACATATACAACAAGCTCTGTTGCTCGCTATGTTTGTTTGGGCCGTGCGACGAAGCTTTGCCCGAGGTGAAAAGTTTCAGTCTCAGCACACAATGTAAGAGAAATCGATCAGATTGTCCGCGAAATCTTACCGGAAATTATACTGAATACTTTCGCAGGTATCACAAGAGAACGTGTTTAAAAGTTTGCGAGGTTCGTATAAAACATAATGGTTGCAAGCATTGATATGTCGCTTTAAACGTTAGATGAGATGTAAGCCTAAATCTCTCAAGACTTTTAGTGGAATTTGCTGTACCTGAAACTTTTCCAATCCCGTGAAGCTATTTCGTCGCACGGGCCANAACTGCGGCCTAGAGTGTTCAAATTCTTGAGCTCAAAAGGCCACGGATTCTCTTCTAGTCCCTTGGTCATTGTCATTTCACCTCTTTTGTCGATTGTTGGGGACCAAGTGAAATACCTTTGATCATTGGGAATCGATGCTGCTTTCATTGGGGAAAACAAAACCAAAGACCAAGATATATCGGATGGAAAGGGCGGGCTTCCTTTATTGTAAATGTCAGCTTGTACAGGGTTATCTACCCACATCTAATAAACAAAATTTTCCACGTTTAGCTTTTTTTTTTTTTTCAAGCGAAGGTTACATTAGACTTTGGCCGGGCGTGCACAAAAATGTGCGTAAGCGCAATTAATTTCCCAGGATGATAGCAGTCAGTAAACAGAAATATTATAGTTGATGAGTACTTCCACAAGCTATTAAAGACATCTATATTAAAAACTCACCTCCTTTATCGTATCCTTGATTTCTAGCAGAGCGTGACGGCTGTACACAGCTATTGCTCGAAATCGAACGATATTTCCACATGTATTTTGCGTGATGTCATCACAAGCACCCCGGATATAAAACCGCAATCGACTGCGCATGTCTTCAATCTTACATCCGACAAATTTCGGGTTTTTCTCGCTATTGTAAAGAATAGGCTGCTGCCTCGCTAGGGCTCGCCAGCAATAAACCTTCCTGGCTGTTACTGTGATAAACTATTACTGATGATTGACAGTGATCGCAAACAATTGAAATGACACTTTTAATCGTTTCATATATCAGGTTCATTAGGTCTCAGTTCAGTTCAGTTATTACACGTGTTTGCTAACCAGTTTTGAAGAGTTACACAGAGTGATCAATGATGTTAGCGGGAAATCGGCGAAAGAAGTAAACCTCGATTAGTTTAGTTTGTATTGTCGTTTTGTTATCTACTTTTTAAAATCGGTGTTGTAAATACCCGAATGTTTCATAATTATATTGCATAATTGTATGTTTCAGATCGAATAATTCCTTCAAATAAACTTGTTCAATATACGATCGACGATTTCGCGGCCTTATTGTCTCAATTATCCAACGGTCCACCGGCCAAAGAACCAAAGGTGCCTACCCTTGGTGGACACGAGGAAAAGTGCAGTAAATGTCATTCCACTTTTCCAACTGTATATGTCGGCACATTTCATAATCCTATGAACGTCGCTGTTGGAGCGAGGTACAAATATTACAAACACAACTATCATTGCCGGTTGATTTCGAACGGTTCTGTCCGGATCATCAGGTAGGGAGGGGTTTAGCGGTCATAACGTGACCGAATAGATTAGCTCATGTAATCCTTTCACAAAGATGCTCTGACAAGGACTGGGTACTAATAAAGAGATACTTGTAAACAGTCCTGTCAATTCTTACTCGGCGCGGAAGTCAATCTTTTACCTAACGAGATCCCTCGAACATCCATGAATACAAGGGATTGTCGGGTTATTGGCCTTCCCTAAGATCATGATAGTCATGGCAAGTACTTAACTGGTCAATCCGTGTTGCTCATTAACGAGGTCAGAGAATGTATTTTCGTGAAAGCTTTCGATTCCACCCTCGTGTACGTTTTTCGCGGTTCCATAACTTGATCAAGACATTTAACGCAATCAAATCATAATCCCAAATTGTGTCAGGAGAAAACTCACCGAGACATTAATTATAGTTCCGCGGATGATTATTTTTGGATTGTATCCAGCGGCAATCCAATAAACCGACAATCCAGCGGCAAATAAAGCTAGATGTAAACAAGCAAGTTCGCTTTGGGGCATCAGCTGATCAGTATGGGAGGGAAGCTAAAGGGACTGTGGGGATTATTAGAGCCGGTGGGACGGCCTGTTACACCAGAGACTCTTAGCTTCAGAACAAGGCTATCGGAGTTGGTATACTTGTTGTCTTTAGATCACATTGATATATAAGTTAATTTACTTCTAGTCATGATACATTTTACCTTCTGAAATAATTTCATGCTGCTCGTGGACTGATCCGGAAAGGATTCACCAATTTACAGTTTATTTTGATGTGAGCTACGATTTAGTCTAACACGCTAAGTGGAATTAAATTTTGGGGGGGGAAAAACATTGCTATTTACTACGTTGTGATCAAACTATGATATAGTATATGATAAGTGCATAGATTATTCAGTTCATGTTTATGTCACAGTCTTTTATAACCTTGATCCTGATGACCAGATGTTAGGAAGCGTACGAAGTTACCGAAGTTGCATCTTTCTTCATTGCTTTACGAGAGGGACAACGGCTGTCCAGCCGTATTTTGAACTTTTCGATTTTTCGGAGAAAAGCGCGATGGAACTATCTCATATAACTTTCGATATAGGTTCATTAAGAGGGTCCTTTAGAAAAAATAAAATGAACTACGAAATTTTGCAACTGTCGGCGGGTTCTGGATATTTACGGTCAGTGACTCTCAAGGCCTTGATATCCATTATTTCCCAAACAGAGTACTCTATAGCAT